CTTCCCCCCATCCCGAGTCCTCTCCTCCACCGCTCCTTCCTCCTTCCTCCCATCCCGAGTCTTCTCCTCCACCGCTCCTTCCTCCTTCCCCCCATCCCGAGTCCTCTCTTCCACCGCTCCTTCCTCCTTCCCCCCATCCCGAGTCCTCTCCTCCACCGCTCCTTCCTCCTTCCTCCCATCCCGAGTCCTCTCCTCCACCGCTCCTTCCTCCTTCCCCCCATCCCGAGTCCTCTCCTCCACCGCTCCTTCCTCCTTCCCCCCATCCCGAGTCCTCTCCTCCACCGCTCCTTCCTCCTTCCCCCCATTCCGAGTCCTCTCCTCCACCGCTTCTTCCTCCTTCCCCCCATCCTGACTCCTCTCCTCCCCCTCTCCTCCTGCCCCTGCCCCTCCCCCCGCTAGTATGGCCATGGTCGTGAACCCTTGGCAGGAGGAGATCCCCGGGGGCCCGCCAGGCGCCCAGCCCCCTCCGGGCCTGCCGTGCGCTCCGGAGCCGGGGGTGGCCCCTCCGCCGCCGGGCCCCCCGAAGGGCGCGGTGGCCCCGGGCCCGGCGGAGGCGGGGGAGAAGGGGGGCGCCCCGCCGAGTGTGGACTGCATGGTGTGCGGGGACAAGTCCAGCGGGAAGCACTACGGGCAGTTCACCTGCGAGGGCTGCAAGAGCTTCTTCAAGCGCTCGGTGCGGCGCAACCTGAGCTACACCTGCCGCAGCAACCGGGAGTGCCCCATCGACCAGCACCACCGCAACCAGTGCCAGTACTGCCGCCTCAAGAAGTGCCTCAAGGTCGGCATGCGCCGGGAAGGTGAGCGCCCCCCGGCCCGGCTCGGCTCGGCTCGGCTCGGCCCGGCCCGGCCCGGCCCCACCGCTCCTTCGCTTTCCAGCCTCGCCTGGCTGCCGTGTCTTTCCTCTGGGGTCCCCCTCTCTGCTCTCCCTTTCTGGGGCCTCTTCTCTCTGTCTCTTCCTGGAGTCCCTTCCCTCTCTCTGACCTCCCTCTCGGGGTCCTCTTCTCTCTGTCTCTTCCTGGAGTCCCTTCCCTCTCTCTGACCTCCCTCTCGGGGTCCTCTTCTCTCTGTCTCTTCCTGGGGTCCCTTCCCTCTCTCTGACCTCCCTTTTGGGGTCCTCCTCTCTCTGTCTCTTCCTGGAGTCCCTCTCTCTGCTCTCCCTTTCTCCGTCTTTCTTTTTCTTTTTCTTTCTTTCTTTCTTTCTTTCCCATCCCTTCTGTGTTTCTCTTTCGTTTCTCTCTCTCTGTTACCTTGCTTTCTTTTCTCTGTTTTTTTTTATGTTCCTTCTCTAGTCTTTCTTTTCTCTCTCTCTCTCTGAGTTTTCTTTCTTTTTGTGCTCTCTCTCTCTCTCTGTTTTCTCTTTCGTTCTCAGGAAGAAAGAGGAGTGAGAGAGAAAAAAGGGAACGTGAAAGGGGAGAAAGAAGGAAAGGTTTTCTTTCTTTGGTCATTCCTCTCTCTCATTCCAAAGACAGAGAAATGAAAAAGAGAAAGAAAATCCGTCTTTTTATTCTTTTCCTTTTCTCTCTCCCCCTTTTCGCTCTCTTGAATTTCTTCATGCCTTTCTTTTCTACGTCTCTACCATTTTCTTATTCATCCACTTTCTCTTTTCTCACTACTTGTCTTTTCCTTCTCTAAATCTTTCTTCCCTTCCCGTTCCCTCCTCCTCTCTCTCCATCCCCTTTTCTCTTTTCCGAATTGTCTCTCTCCCTCTCCTCTCTCATGACATCTCTCTTTTCTTTCTTTCCCTCTGTCTGTTTTCTCACTCTCTCCTTTCCCACCCTTTCTCTACTCTCTAGACAGGATGCCCACCTCTGCCGACCTCCTCAGCTCCCCCCTTACTGAAGGCAACAGGGTCATGTGTACCAGGCATCAGCCTTCCACTTGACAGTCCTCCTTGCAAGCGCCCTGTGGTTCCCTGTGTATTCTCTTCCTTCCCTACTTGCCACCCTGCTATCTAGCCCCCAAAGCCCTAGCCAGGGCTCTCCCTCTCTAGCTGTGAGTTTACAGTTGCTACACTGCTGTCTTAGGGACTCAGTATATTCTTAATATCATTCCCACCCCATCCCCATATACTCCCCAGCGCCAAGAGAATCCCAGGGCCCATTTCTTAACAGGGGATCAGGGTAAAGTGGAAACCCACAGGCTAGAAATGCGTCCAAATTGCTTTTGTCGAGGTCTCAACCCATCTCTGTTTTATTTGCTGCTCGGACTGGTTTTCCTTTCCTGTTCCATGTAGCTATTTTGTTTTTTAAATGAAGGGCAAACTTCACAGTATCTGATGCAGGGCAAATATCAGGGAACTTTCATTCCACCGAATTAACTATTGCACCAGCCCTTGGCTGAAATTTCTGATCTACACAAAATCGGATGGTTTGTCCTTTTAGCCAATCCCAAATTTATCAGCACTGACCCTTAACATTCCTGCATACTGATTCCCCAGTTTGTCTACTGTACTTCCCCATTTGGGCCTGAGAAAGTAAAGCTTGGATATTTGTTGATTGTTTTTTAGCAAGAGAAAAGCAGAATCCTTAAAAGGCTAAATTTCCCCAAGTCCCTGTACTTGTCGATTACAACAAAAGGATCATGGGAAATAACCCTAATTCATATTTAACTTGACTATCTGATCAGCGAAATTAATCCTTTGAACCAGTGAACCTTTAGTTTCTCTTGGGTTTTTAAATAGGGCTTGATTTAGAGACAGTTGCTCCGCAGAGGTAGGAATTTTCACTGTTCCTATATGCATTTTATTTAGGACAAGGTAGGCAGTGAAAACAGTAGGAATAGAACTATTGTTTTTTTAAAAATGCATCTGTATGTCTGTGATAGGAATACAAAAAAGAGGCCAAAGATGACTACACTGAATTCACTGCCCTTACAGTAACCATTCTCCGGATTTAGAATTAAACTAGGATTTAGCAGTAATGTAACAGGCACGGGTTCCTCACACGAATATATTGAGTGGAAACAACAACATACCTGGCATTCAGACAGCATCTTTCATCGGATCTCAAAGCCCTGGAGAAATTTTTTTATTAAGTTACACTTGCGCAAATGTAGGATTGCAAAAAGCATGCGACAGCATGGGTATCTCTCCGTATAAGATACACATATAATGATGTGTGCATATAATAATAATACTCAGTATCTATGGTACTTCATTCATAATGCAAAATACCTTCTTTAACTAGTAACAATCAAGAATCCTTACGACTTAAATAGGAATCACATTCTTTTTTAACCTTTTCACAGACGACCAGCATTTCAACCATACTATTAAAAACTTCTCTTGTACATTTAATTTTCTCAATTAAGGAGTGGGTTGGAAAAAGTGGCAAAGTTTCTCTCCCATGATGGGACATATTTAAGAAAAACATCAAGGCGAATCCCTTCCCTCCCCACTCCCCAGGGTAAACATTTTTCTTTGAAAACTTTGCCCCCTCCCTTTCAATGAACGTGCCCAGTAATTTGGCTGCAATAATGCATTCATGGCATTTAATCTTCTTTTGGTGAGATGATTACTGCAAATCCCCAATGGGTACTAGTAGCAGATCTTAGCAACTCTTGCTACTCTCGTTTATTTATATATACTTATATATATACAAGAAAGCGTCTAATAAGTTTATTCTGCACAAATGACCATTCAAAACATCAGCATAAAATCCTTATGATTTATCCCTGATCCAAATGGGAGCTGGGATAGCTCAATCGATTTCCTTCTCCCCTTATTTTCTTTTCAGTTATGTGTGTTAATTTCTTTATTAAGCCCTCTGTCAAATCTGGCGATTATGTCTTCTCAGATCATGGGCATGGCTTTGAGAAAAGGAAGTTAGAAAGGGGACGGTTTTACCTCTATTATGCCTTTTACTGCGGCACCTGTAACGCATTTGGGTGACATGGTGATGGGCATCCAGCAAAGCGCTAGGTTAGAGAGTTTCGTAGCATAGGGCAAAAGTTCTTGCAATCTGGAGCCATATTCACACCCGGAAACCTCTGCCTTAAAAGTCAACTCTTTAAAATAAAATTGATGTTCAAGCTGTGATTAGGCAGGGACCCCCTGGGCTAATGCTCCCTGCAGATCAAACACACGCATCATACAATGGCCAGATTCTCATTTGGTGTAGACTGGTCAACATGAGCTGAGGATTTGACAAAGTCTTTTTTTTTTTTGTAAATAGAGAGAGAAGCCAGGTCAGGAAACCCACATATGTACCTTATTGAACTGCTGAGCTAAACCTGATGTCTGTCATAACCCTACACAGCATTAGGTAGCATAATAAGAAAACTGTTGGCCTGTGTTAATTAACAAACGTGTCTTTATAGCCCAAGGTGAGCTTAGATCACTACAATTCTGGTTGAGTGGACACTACATTTTTTTAGTGGTTACTCAACATTTGAAACATCTATGCTGAGAGATTCAAAAGCATTTTTAAACAGCTCTATTTTCTGTATTCCTTTTGATTTTTTAACGTCCATCTTACTTGGAATTTTATTCCAGGTAAATATTTACATTGGCAAGTAAGCTTCAACTATTAGTTGAAACTAAACAAAGACATCTATCTATCAAGATACATCTACTTATTTTTTTCTGATTATGTAATGATACATTATATAATTTGTTCCATGCCAGTTTAAATTTGGGATAATTTTTCGATTCAAAGGATTTCAAGAGTTGTTTGAATGATTCCCTTGCTTCTATGCAGAAGACACACACTCAATTGAAATTATTGAGCGTAGGTTCAGAAATGATATTTTAATTCTTTGCCAGTGATCGTAGGCTGGGAATGATAGCTGGAGAAACCCCACAAAACCCCACTCAAAAAAAAAAAATCAAATTTCCATACAAATCCTCAAATGCAATTTACAAAAACTGGGCTCTATGGAAAAATTCTAGAGTGTATTTGTGAATTACAAACATAGAATTCAAATTGTATCTTACAAGGGGTGTTTCTTATTGCAGCCTTTTTCCTCAAATCAAGAATATTTAAGGGAAATTTAATTACAAAAAGACTTGCACAAAGGTTTGGTCGTGAGTGATGACTTCGTCTGGAAAGTCATTTAACTTTAAAAAGGGACACATGGAAACAAATAGATTGAACAAGGGCATGGGAATGGTCCAAGATAGGCGCTGATTTGCAGAACGTTACAATGTTTCATATTTTTTTAGTTTCATCAATATTATTTTATTGGGGTGAATTCACTCCGAGTATAGTGGCACTGAGTGAACTTTCAATAGCTTTATTCCCCAACCCATTTTCCAGCAATAGAATAGTCTGCTTTTCTGCCCCTCGCACTTGGCATTGGAAACGTGTCACATTGCGTTCCCCGCAGATGAGGTCATTTGTTAATATTCTAACGATTAGGAGAAATCCCCTTTCGCCATTTAAACACCTTTGTCACTTTTGGTGGGCAAACGGCTAGCAATCTACTAGCCATCTCACTGAAGTTTAACCGCCCAGTTTAAAGGATTTGCCACTGGGGTCATAACGAAGGGTTGTCCTCAGTCCGCGGTGTTATTGTTAAATGCATTTCTAAAGCATTCTGCTCTCACAGTATCTGGCTGATTTTACATACTCACGAGGTACATTGCATTTATGCGCTAATCTACCCCGGCGATAATCTGTCAAGTTTGGCCCAGAATTTAGGTTTTGCACAGATAAAACAGGGAGTCGCAGGAAGAAACTTTTTACAAAACCTAAGGCCAATGGAAACGTTTCTGTGATTTATTTATTTATTTATTTATTTGTTTGTTTAATTCCAGAGAGAATAGGATTTTTTTTTCTTTTTAACCAAGCAACCATTC